CGCTCCAAGCGCATCGTTTGTCAGGCCTCCCAAAAACCAGACGCAGACAGAACTGCCAAGTTTGGCAGGAAGTTCTGCGCATGCTTAAAAGATTTAATTTGATCGAATGCTTGGTACATGTATACACACGTCATGATCGGATCATTTCATTTAGTGTTCATGTAAACGGAGATTTTGAGTTTCCAATCAACCAAGGTTTGGATCGGATCAGGGAAATTTTGCGCATGTAAACGTAGCTAGTCAGAGAAACAGAGGGATTGCTGAAGAGTCAATGAGTCGATCCAATCAACTGGTTTTTCTTAGATAGAAAACTTTTACTAATCTGACTGGATGATGACGTTGAATTGTCTCTATAAAGGACCTTGAGATGACATGTTGTGAAAAAGCGCATATAAATTGAATCAAGACCAAAATATAATGTAAAATATCAGTCAAAAAATATTTAAAAAAAATTATACAAAGCCTATAAAAATAATCAGACATGCTAATAAAGATTATTACACAAATTTATTTTTGGAAAGAAAAGACGATATTAAAGGAATGTTGAAAGTGTTCAGAGTTGTTATCGACAGTAATTCTTAGTCAAACCTCTTTCTTGATTAATGAGCAAAATGTTGAGATTAATTCTATTTTTTAATTAATGATAGGGCGACAGTGGTGTTGGTTGTAGGAGTTTGCCCTCAAATTGAAGGATTGACAGTTCAAGCCCTGTTTCCGACTTTCATTGTTGTTGTGTCCTTGGGCACAGGGCAGCTGTGGTTACAATGTAGCTTGCCACCATCAGTGTGTGAGTGTGTGCATGAATGGGTGAATGAATGTAGTGTAAAGCCCTTTGGTCAACTCTCCTGACTTGAAAAAAGGTGCTATATAAGTACATACCATTTACCATAATGTTGGTCGGAATCTATTCCATCGTATATTAATGATAGTTGGAAAGGAAACCCATTACTTTGGTGAAATCTATAACAGTGTTTATTTCCTGAATAAATAAAAAAGATTATCCATCTTTTCAAATAGGGTAATAAGTTCAGTCTTAATAATTACAGGCCTATATCTTTGCTCTCTGTTTTCAAAAATCTTTGACAAACGTTTTGTTAAAATTGATTCTTAATATATTTTCATTTGAATGAAAATCAGTTTGGTTTTAGAAGTTTTCGCTCAACAGCTTTGGCACTAATAAATATCACAGATGAAAGAAATGACATAAAAGTTGAAATATGAAGGAATTTGTTCAATGATTATTACTGGAGAGGCTGTTTTGCTGCCATCTGCTGTGTCTTATGAGTACTGCAGTTATATTGAATCGTTCTGAAACAAAATAAATATAAGACATGCACGTTAAAACGGCTGTTCTCTTCAAATGATCAAATAAAACTCAGTTGGAGTTATAGACTTGAAAAAGGGTTTTGATTCTCCCAATCACAGCAAATGTATGGAATAAGAGCTTTAGAGCTAAACAGGGTCACTAGATATTTAGAAACTAGACAGCAATAAACACCGAATATGTGAGTCACCATGACACTAAATTAAGTATAATTCTAGGTGGGGTCGCTCAGGGCTCAGTGTTGGTGACTAAACTTTTTATTTTCTATTAAATGAACTCGAGGATGAATCACAGACACTGTGGTTTGTTCTCTTTGCACATGTTACTAATTTCTTTCTGTCAGAAATTAACATCAATATGAGATCTGTTGAGCAAGAAATTATGCTACAATCATGCTTTATTAAAAATAGACAATCATTAAAAATCATTAAAACAAAGCATGGATGTCTTTATTCATTGTAAAAAAGAGGAGAATAAGAATTATTAATTGCTCTGCTTCAAAAGAGCATCAGGACTGTTTATGAAATCAAGAGGATTGAAGGAGCTGATGGTTCTACAAACACTCTGAGTTTAGCAGAGAGCAAAGTTTGGCCTCTGACCAGCTGGTCTGCAAACATTTTCACTGCAAACTGAGAAACTAGCAGAAGAAATAATGACTTTAAATATCTTTTTGTTAAAATCAAACTAAAGCACATGTTTCTGTGGCTGAAGTGGAAAACTGGAAAAGATTTAAAGTAATGTTTAAATATTCATATTTATTCAGCTTATATTCAGCTTAATTATAAATATAAACAAAATCGTTCATAATTTATGAAAAAGGAGGCATAAAAATCTAAAAGAAAAAAGAGAATAGAAAGAAAAGAAAGGAAAAGGGAAGATAAAAAAGAAGAATTGAGGATGATGTAGGAAAATATTGACAACATTCTTTAAAAGTTTAAAAATAATCCACTTGACTTGGTTTCCTAGGTTTGCAAACATCCTCAGCATATTAACAACATTGGGCCGGATTTATCAAGATCCAATTTTGCGTGCAGTAATTTGCGCTCGCAAACTGGAATTTTGCGCGAGGGGCTGAACCATGGTTTGCGGGTGATTTAACAAGAGTGATTGCGTAACTGGTGGCAGGTGCAAAACTGTTGGAGACGCCCTATTTAAATGATGGTTTTGCGCGTTTTGTGGTTTGCGGCAAAGTAGTTTGTAGTTTGTACAAACAAGTGCATTAAGAAATTTAAATCTTACAGTGACCCCCAACAAAAAAAACAAACAAACAAAC